GTGACATCATGCTGTTTGATGTTTTTCTGGATAATTTGTGAAAATACTTTTTTGAGAACTTGAAATATCCAAATGAGATTTTCAGGAAAATCGTCAGTGGGTAGTGTTTAACATTAGGTATCAGTTTGGAATACTCTCTTCAGGATCTTAAATTTTGAGGTCCTGGTGTTTTCATTTGTGAAGGTGGGCTTACCCTTTCTCAAGTCTGAACTATAATGTTTGGAAGAATTCATAAAATAGAGGGTAATGTTGAGTTTTGTTTAACTATTTTGAATATTTTGCCTGAAATTGAAATAAATTAACTTAAGTTCACTTGGAAACTCTTGTGAATTCCTACCGCTTAGGCCAAAGCTCGTTAACTTTAATATTAAAGTGCCATAAAATATTCTGGGTTGTGTTGCTAGAAACTTCATGCATCTCTGCCTCTGCCTTCTTGTTTGTCTCCCCATCCCCAGTATTATTGAATTAAAGATGGCGTAAAATAAAACTTCACATATTTAACATGCACAACTCAGTAAGTTTTGGCATATGTGCATATCCATGAACCCATCACCACAGTCAAGATAATGTACATATTCATTGCCTTCAGAAGTGTCCTCCTGTCAACTTGGAAATTCCTTCTTACTTTTCTTTCTTATTCTTTCACACCACTGATGTTCATTGATCTTCTTAGTGATTATGTAAACTATAGATTACATTTCTAGAATTTTCTATAAGTGGAATTTTTAGTATGACTTTAGGGAGCTGGGAATGGAAATAGAGGGAAGAAGGGAGAGAGAAACATTGGCCTGTTCTAGTTGTTCATTGGTTGATTCTTCTTTATAGCCTGACTGAGAATCAGCCCACCACTAAGGCACCTATCTGGATGGTGCTAACTGATTGAGCTACCTGTTGAGGGTACAGTGATATTCTATTTCAACTCTACTCTTTATCCTAATATAGACAAAATCAATGTTTCTTTATTTTTTAACAATATATGTATATTTTAAATTTTATTATTTATTTTTTTATTTTCCTTTTTCCTTTTTTTTTTTTTTTTTTGTACAGATAGAGTGGGAGGGAGAGAGAGGAAGAGAGAGAGAGAGAGAGAAACATCGACGTGAAGGGACACATCGAGTGGCTGCCACCCGCACGACCAACCAGGGCCGGGGGACAAACTGCAACCGAAAGTACATGCCCTTAGCGGGAACCGAACCCGGGTCTCTCCGGACCCGCAGGCCGACGCTCTAACCGCTGAGTCAAACCGGCCAGGGCTAAATTTTTATTTATTGATTTTAGAGTGACATAGAGAGAAACATCAGTTTGTTTTCCAGTTATTTATTCATTCACTGGTTGCTTCTTCTTTTTTAATCTCACCTGAGGACATTTTTTGATATTTTGTTCACATAGAGTGGGAGGGGGAGAAAGAAGAGAGAGAAACATCATCAATAAAGGGACACATCGAGTGGTTACCACCCACACGACCCAATCAGGGCCGGGGATAAACTGCAAATGAGGTATGTGCCCCTTAGCGGGAACCAAACCTGGGTCTCGCCACACTGCAGGCCAACTCTCTAACCGCTGAGCCAAAACCGGCCAGGGCACTGGTTGCTTCTTTTTTTTTAATCCTCTCTGGAGGACATTTTTTTGATATTTTGTTCAGATAGAGTGGGGGAGAGAGAGAGAGAGAGAGAGAGAAACATCGACGTGAAAGGGACACATCGAGTGGTTGCCACCCACACGACCCAATCAGGGCTGGGGACAAACTGCAGCTGAGGTTCGTGCACTTAGCAGAAACCGAACCTGGGTCTCTCTAGGAACTGCAGGTCGATGCTCTAACTGCTGAGCTTAACTGGTTCAGGGCTGGTTGCTTCTTTTATGTGTCCTGACACAGGATTGAACTGCAACCTTGGCTCTAATGAATTGAGCTACCTGACCTGGGTGCGCAGGCGCTCGCGCTCTCTCTTTCTCTCTCTCTCTCTTTATTCAAACTTCCTCTAAATAAAATTTATTTTAAAAAGAAAGAAATAGAATATTGTTATTAACATTTCTTTTTTTTTTTGTACGCACCTTTAGCGGGAACCAAACCAGGACTCTCTGGTCCGCAGGCTGAGGCTCCAACCACTGAGCAAAAATGGCCAGAGCGTTATTAACATTTCTTTAATGTAATGCTAGAGACCCGGAAAATCTGTCTCGTCTCACAGAACTGTGCTAAAATTCTCATTACTATTGTTATTTAGAAGTGTCTTTGTCAATTTTTGTTTGTTTGTTTTTAATCCTCAACCAAGGATATTTTTTTCATTGATTTTTAGAGAGACTATAAAGGAGGAAGGGGGTAGAGAGAGAAAGAGAAACATCAAGGTGAGAGAGAAACATCCACAGTTTGCCTCCTGCACATGCTCAGACCTGGGATCAAACCCAAAACTGGGCATGTGCCCTGACCAGGAATCAAACCGAAACCTTTTTGGTACATGGGATGATGCTGCAACCAACTGAGGCTCTGGACCACAGGCTGACCACACTAACCGACGCTCTAACTGCTGAGCCAAACCAGCCAGGGCTCTAATGGTTATTTTAAAGATCGTTTTCATTATATGTATGTTCTGTTTATTGACATTTAAACATTCACTAATTTTCTGTTATGAAGGTAATTGAGTTCAAGTGACCATAGAAATAATGTCATGTTTGTTATTCAGAAATTGGAGTGTTTAATTTTGTGTATTAAAAAGATATTTTCTTGTTAGGAAAGTTGCCTTCTAAACAGTGTGGTTTATTGTTTACATATTACTGGACTAGTTCTTGTGTAGGTACAAGTTCTTGTGTAGTAATGTTACTATAAAATTATGATACAGTACTGGTCATAAAGACTGAAGAGATATTGAAAATAATCTGAGAACACAATTCAGAACTGTTCAGGTTCTTAGTTTCAGTTTTCTTTTTTTAAAAATAACTAGGTCTATAAATAAAATAAAATAAAATGACTAGGGAGTCCTAGCTAGGGGCCTCAGTTGTTGTTGGGGCATTGTCCCATACACCAAAAAGTTATGGGTCCATTCCTGGTAAGGGAACATACCTAGGTTGCAAGTTCAATCCTTTGTTGGGGCACATATGGGAAGAAAGTGATCTGTTTCTCACGTGATGTTTTCTCTCTCTCCCCCCTCCCTCTTTCTCCCTCCCCCCTCTCGCTTTCTCCCCTAAAATCAATACAACATATCCTCAGATGAGTTTTTAAAAAAAAGGACTCAGGAAAATTTGACTGCTATTATTTATTATTATTATTATTTTGTTTTATTATTTTTAATCCTTATCCGAGGACATTTTTCCATTTTTTTTGTTCAGATAGAGTGAGAGGCGACAGAGGAGGGGGAGAGGAGCGAGAGAGAGAGAATATCGACATGAAAGGGACACATTGAGTGGCTGCTCCCACATGGTTTGTCCCAACCAGAGCCAGGGACAAACTGCAACTGAGGTACTGCCCTTAGTGGAAACCGAACCTGGTCTCTCTGGGACCACAAGCTGACGCTTTAACTGCTGAGCCAAACCGGCCAGGGCTGACTGCTATATTTACTGTTTTGCCAGATACGAATTTTTGTAACTTAAGTTATAAAATTGATTTATAAGCCCCACTCTTTTTTTTATCCTCACCCGAGGATATTTTTTCCATATTTTTGTACAGATAGAATGAGAGGGAGAGAGAGGAAGGGAGAGAGAGTGAGAAACATCGACGTGAAGGGACACATCGAGTGGCTGCCACCCACACAACCAACCAGGGCCGGGGACAAACTGCCAACCGAAGTACGTGCCCTTAGCGGGAACCGAACACGGTCTCTCCGGACCGCAGGCCGACGCTCTAACGCTGAGCCAAACTGGCCAGGGCTATAAGCCCCACTCTTTAAACCAAAATGAAGTTTATTGGTAAATTGTAGAATTAAAATAGATATATTTTCTGATATGAATTATAAGACTTTACATTTTGATGTTTGTTACATTGCGATGCTTTGAGCTCTTTATAACTGATATTAAAATGAATAATACAAATATTTTTCAAATGAGGTCTCCAGAGAGCTAATTTGTGTTAAGAAAACCATAAGGTTGTTTGAATTGACAGATTAAGACTTACATATGCATATTCATTTGTTAGTGGAATTTGTTTGATGATTGGCATATTTTTATGACCTCAATTTAGGCTTATAATTGAAA